GTGCAACGCCACCCAAATCAAAGGCATCTGCTCATCTCCGGTGCAACTCACCCAAATCAAAGGCATCTGCTCATCTCCGGTGCAACTCACCCAAAGCAAAGGAGATCCCCAATCATTGGGCCATTATATCCATAGTAGCTCAGTCTGCGTATCCAGGGTCTGACATGGCTCCCATCGCTGTAGGATCCCCGCTGCCCAGCTACTGTTCAGTGCAAAATACACCAGGCCAAGGGTAGCCCTGGTGTGACTCCCTTCTCCTGTAATAGCCAAATGGTGGTTCTCTGACCCCATCCCACTGTGGTCGGCCACCTGGTGACGATGGTACCCTATAGCTATCGGCTATAGGGCTCCTGGGTGTAAGGCCAGGGCGTCTGGCTTCTTAAGATAATGGGGTGAGGAAGGGAGGGGGGTGGACTAGACCAGCTCTCAACCAATCATAACTCATCATTTCTCTAGCAAGTTGGTTGAGTACTATTCATTCCTATCCAATCAGATGCAGGGAAAGACTAGCTCTCCTCTTTCCAAATCCAAACCCTACAGACCACATGGGCACTGCTGTTCAGCCAGGACACCCGCCCCTAGCTTTCTCCCCTCCAGTCACGCACCCACTCATCACAAATCCCTCCTCCTTCCCAACGGCACCTTCCATTAGCCAGCATGCTGTTGTAGCTTTGGGGGTGGGGTGGGGGGAGGGCAAGAGGCAGACAGCTTGAGCACCCTCACACTCTACCAGCTCGACATGCATGGCAGGGGGCGTGGAGGAGGCCAGGCATAGATTCAGATTCCAAGGCCCGAAGGGCCCACTGAGATCACCTGGTTTGACCCCCCGCAGCATGGCACCGGCCATAGGACTGCCCCACAGTAATCCCTAGAGCAGAGCTTTTTGGGAAACAGCCAGTCCTGATTTTAACATTGCCACTGATGGAGAATCTACCTCCACCCTTGCTAAATCGCTCCAATGGCTAATTACTCTCCCCGGGAAACATATACACCTCCTTTCCAGTCTGCACATGTCTTGCTTCAACTTCCAGCCACTGGCTCGTGTTAGACCTTCGTCTGCTAGATGGAAGCACCCATTATTCAATGGTTGTTCCCCATGTAGATACTTACAGACCGTGATCAAGTCACCCCTTAACTTTTTCTTTGTTAGCTAAACAGACTGAGCTCCTGGAGTACGTCACTCCAAGGCAGGTTTCTAACCCTTTAATCAGTCTCGCGACTCTTCTCTGACCCTTCTCCAATTCACCCACATCCTTCTGGAACGGTGAGCACCAGACCTGGACACAGGATTCCAGCCGTGGTCGCACCAGTGCCAAATACAGAGACAAAAGACCCTCTCTATGTCTACTCGACATTCTGCTGATGCATCCCAGGGTGGCATTCGCTCTTTTGGCCGTTCAGCTGATTCTCCACCCCCACCCCCACATCTCTTTCAGAGTCCCTGCGTACCAGGAGAGAGTCCCCCAGGCCACAAGCATGGCCTATGTTCTTTGTTACCAGATGTGGACATGGACATTTACCCTTATTCAAATGCATATTGTTTGCTTGCACCCAGTTTATGAAGCGATCCAGATCACGCTGAATCAGTGAGCCCTTCCTTTGGCACAGCTGCTGCAAGGTCTTGACGGGAGCGCACTGGCCCCATTCCTGTTCTCCCACTGTATTTATCCGACCAACCCGGCAAAGCCCTGCTTATAAGCAACGAGGGAGGTGTGTCTATCAGACCAGGTTATGAACAGAACACAGAGAGTCATCCCTAAATCTGTCCCCACCCTCCCGCCTCCCAAAATTAATGCTTCTGTGGCTCTATTGCCTCTAACTCAAAATCCAGTCAATAGGGGGACAGCGATCATGCCACGGTCTATGGTTTCGCCATTGACTTCTGAGGAAGGACGCAGCGCCCCATCAGGGTGGCAGGAGCCCAGGAATCTAGTGCTGGGAGATGCCAAGAGGCCATGATTATTGGGGCGCTCATGACCATGAGCCCCAGGTGGCCTTGGGCAAAGCAGCATTAAATTTACCATCAGAGCTCAATGACAAGGAGCTGTGATCGAGGGCCCCCATGTGTCCCAATGAGAACCGTGTCCTCACAGACAGAACTCCAGCGGGGCTCGTGGGCTCTGCCCGTCGGCTCTGCTCACCTGGTAACTGGTTGGGCCACTGAGGCGAACGGGCGTTTTGTAAAAGGAGCAGGTCTGATGCTGCCACCTTTACTCCCACTGAGTAACATCTTCCTGTGTGAGGAGTCCCCATGCTTTTCAATGGGACTGTGTGGGGAGTAGGTGCGACTGGCCATGAGCCTGGGAGGGTGGAGGGGAGAATGGCCCCTGAGCAAGACCTGAGATTCCCATTCCTCATGGGACGGCATCTTACTGGGAAAAGGACGGCTCAGGGCATGGGGTCCCCGCGGCACAGCCCTGTGTAGCGTAATGCCATGGATGGGCCTCTCAGCTCCAGGGCACTTCCCCATGACAAATCCACTGGGTCCCGGTGCGGGCTGTCCCGGACCTGTGCAGCTGAACCCCTGTTGCCAGCATTCTGTTTGTGCTGATCTGGTGGCTACGACGGTTAGCGGCGAGCAGGAGTGAGTGTGGCCAGATGCCCCCTCGTCATGCTGCAGAACCCTGCATACACCCACAGCCGGGCACACATGCACCCCCCCAGCCTGACACACACTCACGCAGACAAACACCCAGATGGGGACTATGCTGCATGAACAGCCCCAGGACACCCAACCTGGTACACTCGGGGGCACACCTAGCAGAAGCCTGCTGGATTCATAGCTATCTGGCATCCCCTTTACCCTGTACTTGGGTTACCAGTCCCAGGGGCAAAGGTTGGCTGTGAAGCTGGATTCAGGGAAAAGGTAACTCTTGAGCAGGCCGGATCCTTTAAACTCCCAACGCTGCTGTATCTGACCGCCTGGCGCAGAGCTGTGGCCGGGCACCCCGACCCCTGCTGTGTCACTTTATGGCTAGAGACCCACACACGCAGCCTAACCTCCTGAGAAACACGTGTACCCAATGCCCCCTGGCCTGAGATCTGGACTCGCCGGACAGAGCCGGGGAAGTCCTTCCGCATCTCAGCTAATCGGGAGGGGAAGAGAGCCTGGCCTTTGGAGACGATGAAGTGCTAGCCCCGGGGCACACGCGTAGGGGCAGCTGCTCCCCCAGCCAAGGCATAGGACACCAAAGCACCTCCGGGGATAGGGCCATGTGTGCCAGGAATTCTATCCACTGCTCTGATGCCTTTTCACTGCAGCGGGGAGGGAGGAGGGAGGAGAGAGGAGGGGGGTGGTCAGATGCTCAGCACAGGACTACGTGCATCTTCCGTCCAGAGGAAGAGGAGGGAGATGGCTTGTGGGGACAGCAGCCAGCGGTCCTTGGCGTTGTGTGTGTGTCTATCTGTGTGTGTTCTTTATACTTATTATGTAGCTGCTTATTCGAGTCCAGGTTCGTGCCCCCCCAACACACAGTGGGGGTGGCCCCCTCTTGTAGCGCTGCCTCCTGCTGGCAGCGAGGAGTCTTTAACAGCCAGGAGCAAGGTGTGGGACGGGGGCGTGAGAAATGAAATAGAAAACAGGCTCCCAAACCAGTTCAGTGCCTCCTAGGCAGCGCCTTGCGAGTTTGTTAGCAAAGACTTTTAATTTCCATTTAAAATTAGACTCGTCTCTAGCTCCATAAAGTGGCTTTGCCTCTGTGATTCTTTACTGGGTTGATTTCTCTTCTCCGCTCAGTCTGGGCCCGGTGTTCGCTCTCTTCCCATGGGGTGCGGTGGGAGGGAGGGGCGGCAGGTGGGGGGAGTGTCATCACAATATCCGGGGGGCGGATCTGTCGTTGGTGATGGTCCTGCGCAGGCGCACGCCGCGCCGGATGGCTACCAGCATGTCTTCAGCGGGGGGCTCGCTGGAGGCAGCGGGGGGCAGAGTGGGCGTCTCCTCTCCAGGGCCGGGGACAGAGAGAGCGGTGGGGAAGGGGAATTGGCCCTCGCCCAGGGCATGGGCACTGGCCACCAGCTCGCCAATCTTCTCCACCAGGCTGTGCCGGTTGGCAGCCAGCTGCTGGTCCTCCTCTTCCTCGGCAGAGAGGTGCTGCCCTGCCCCCGGGTACACCGAGATCTCCATGGCGGTGCTGCCCCAGGCCGTGTTGGGGAGGCTGAGCCTCTTGGGCGAGGCTTTGGCGAAGTCCATGGCGTTTGGGGAGGCGTCATCGGCGTAAAACACACACTCTTCACTGCCCACCCGGGTGGGCCCAGTGTAGCCAGGGGAGTCGGGCACCGTGGGGGTCTTCACTGGGACGATAGGGGGCCGGATGGGGATGGGCCCGGCGTTGGAGAGGGTGCGGCGCACCGAGGGCTTGGTGGAGGGCGTGCGGCGGATGGTGGCCACGCCAGGGGGGGCGCTGGCCGGCAGGGGGGTCCCGGTGGGCAGCCCGGCGGTGGAGGCGGGGCGCTTGGTCTGGATCATGCGGCGGTAGTTCTGGGCGATGTTGCTGTTGCGTGGGATGGTGGAGGATTTGTCAAACTCGCTCTGGCTGTCGCACTCCACGTCGCCGTTCACCGAGTAGCAGTCGTAATCCGAGCCTGGGGGCAACACGCAGCGTCAGCGCGATACGGGCACAACCAACACATGCAACACAATCACCCACAACATGCAACGTCAGCGCGACACACCACCACATGCAGCACAATCACCAACAACACACAGCGTCAGCGTGACACACCACCTCAACCAACACATGCAACACAATCACCAACAACACGCAGTGTCAGCGCGACACACCACAACACCCAACACATGCAGCACAATCACCAACACGCAGCACCAGCTCGACACACCACCACAACCAACACATGCAACACAATCACCAACAACACGCAGCGTCAGCGCGACACACCACCACACCCAACACATGCAACACAATCACCAACACCACACAGCATCAGCGCGACACAGGCACTCCCAACACATGCAACACAATCACAACAACATGCAGCGTCAGCGCGACACACCACCACAACCAACACATGCAACACAATCACCACCAACACGCAGCGTCAGCACGACACACCACCACAACCAACACATGCAACACAATCACCAACACCACACAGCGTCAGCGCGACACGGGCACAACCAACACATGCAGCACAATCACCAACACCACGCAGCGTCAGCGCGACACAGGCACAACCAACACATGCAACACAATCACTAACAACACGCAGCGTCAGCGCGACACACCACCACAACCAACACATGCAGCACAATCACCCACAACACGCAGCGTCAGCGCGACACACCACCACACCCAACACAGGCAACAC